CGTACAAATGTTTAGAATTAACAGAAGAAAATTTGTAGTTTTATCTTTGACGCCTATTCTTATATCCAAAGAGTTTCTAGAAAAATCAAGTCCTTTTGTTTGTTAATTACAAACTAAAAGAAGAAGTATGAAGAAGAGTATATGGACTTCTTAGAAGTAAACTCCATAATTTAGCCTCCTCGAACAAGCCGTGGTAGAAGCCTACTGTTCGCTAGGCTCTCAGGAATGTATTGCGAAATTCAAAAATATCTTTGGCACGCAAGTTCTTCAAAAATGTCAAAGCAAGGATGCAGTAGCAAGCCAATGCTCTACGTAAGTACCTCTTTAGTGAAAATTGAAATACTGACAACTTTATCTTCAGGGTTGCTGCACCTCTGCGAGCCAAAACGTATTGCTACGGTGTAAGGGAAGGAGGAGAGTCTGCATTTAATAAGGTCTCAGCTCATGGTTTTGGATTTCGCGCTTGCATTTCAATTGGTAGTAAAATTCAACCCAGGAATTGAAATCAGGAGAAAAAAAAAGAGATTTTTGAGCAAACTTATGTTATACTTTTATCAGGTAAAGGAGCTGTACAAAGTTGAAACTGTTCACATCGAAAAAAACATCCTCCGCGATGCCCTTGCTTGCTATAATGATGTCGTAGCTTTGAAAGAGTATGTTTTCCTCACTATTCCTTCATTTGACACTGTAGATCTTTTAGACTTATGCTACTAGCGTTAGATCGGAATTCTTCATTTGTACGCCTTCAAGACGTGAAGAGTGTGTTTACGAGTGTATCAAAAAATCCATTAGGCGCAGAGATCATCCTTAATTTTCTCTTGGAACGATGGGAACATATTTATGAAGGGTACGTCGGGCAAGTATCACGGAGTGGTCTTGAAAATTTTCTTGTAGCTATTTTAGGCTAATGCCAGAGCGTAGATCCATTACTGCAATTATTGAAACTGCTGCTGTTACGGCACGGTCGCAGTACCAAATTGAACAGGTTCGGTTTTCTCTTTCCTTGATTGTTGTTCAGTTGTATAAGTCAGTAAGTTCTAGTTTCCACTTAAGGCTTACTGCGGGGCATTTAATTTGATTGATGTTTAATGTGCTGAAGGTTAAACTAAGGTACAAGTGACAGAGCACTGCAGTTTATGTGAGGACTTCTCTTCTCGCTAGTTATTCTATGGATAAGAAATCACTGTAACATGGTTCTTATCAAGGGTTATTTACGTACTCGAGTTACAAAGGAAGGTTACTTTGTCGAAGTGGCGATTCAAAAGGTACATATCTTTACATGCAGTTGAAACGCTGATTTTAAAACTACCCTCCATGGAAGAAGTTACGGAGGTTTTCCTCTATCAACAAGGGCTTATAAAACCTGGATTAAAATGCTTAAAAGTTCAAACTTGACCCAAAACAGCAGCGCGATTAGATAGAATGTATGTCTTTATAATAAAATTAAACCATTTGGTTATTGTTTCTGGTCTGATGATGTTGTAGAGCAGTTATTGACGAAGCGCGCAGGCTAATTTCAGCATAGAAAAGCTTGCATAACTTTTTCCAGAAAAACGCTTCGCAGATATGGAAGGCAGACTTGGAATCAGCGTCTGAGGCTGCATCTACCAGTATACATCACTCTCTCGCTAGCTTTACTATCTCGATATGAAACTGTAGCGGCGACGTTTGCGAGAATGATCCATTAAACTAGCTATTTTTAGCTGGTCCATCCGTAGAACAAAAGGTCAGCCCACATCTAGTTCGTGCCTCCTTCGAGGAGGTTTTGATACTAGAATAACTATCCATCTGTTTTTCATTTTCTTTATAAATCAGCTATTTGGTATTTTGCTTGAGAACGTATACCCCTGCATCGCGAAGTTGGGATGTTGATATGATGTACGAACTGCGTGCGAGGTGTTAAGCGTGTCGCTTGACTTTAAAAGACGTCTCACTGTCAGGTATCGTCTCTGCTGCATAAAAGAACGCTGTGAGATGGTCTAATTGAACGGATAGGCAAAGATTTTGGGTCCGTCAGCCGCTTTGGTCCTAAACTACCAGAACTAGTTTACTTTTCCTGCTCAGTTTTTCTGAGTGCTAACTCCATTTTCATTAAGGCCGAAAAATAAGCAAGAAAAGGTGCGCGGATGAAGCCTCTGTTGAGTGCTTCTTCACCTTATTAGCACTTTTTCCTCTTCTCTACTTTTTCTTAAATATCATCGTCGCATTTTATAGCATTCAGCCTTTCGCATAAGACGGATCCACCCTTTTGTCTTAAAGCGCTGACAGTATGGCGTCAGTTTCGACACTTTTAAACGCTTTCGAATAGTCGACGGAGGTCAGGATAGAAGAAGACGGTGATCTCGGGACGCCTATAATCCTCTAATCTCCTAAATTTGGTTCATGCAATTGAGTTTCGTGCAAAAACAGTCTGGTTTTTCTAGTTGGGCTTCATCCGGCTTCCTTACGAGTGAGAAAACCT